ATCCATGTATGCTAAACTCTACCTTTGACTTCGGCCAGCACTTCAAGCTGACATTTGACCTCATTACTGTAATAAAGAAAACGATTCACAGCTGGTCTACATAACATTCCCAAGTATCTAACCACATGCTTCTTAGGATATCCTTGTTTGAAGTTTTTAGTATATTTGACCCCTGTGACCTTGAAACTAGGTCAAGGTCATTTTAATGAAGAGGCTTTATGGTACTGCATGCCATGTACCTAATGGCCAAATATCATGACCCTGGGCCTTATGGAACTTGAGAAGAAGATTGTTAAAGTTTTTAACCCATGTTGACGTTTGACCCCCCGACTAGCACTTAAAGTTGACCTTTGACCTCATTACTTTACTTAAGGAAACGATTCGCACTGCTGGTCTACATAACATACTCAAGTATCATGACTCTAGTCCACATGGTTCTGAGGATATTATTGTGTGAAGTTTTTAACATATTTGACCCTTGTGACCTTGAGAGTAGGTCAAGGTAAATTGATGAGAAAACTTTATCATTTTCTTTTGCAAAATGTAGATAAGTTATTTTCCCTATTGAAGACTTCGTAATTGGATAATGATCACTCAATCACCAAATAGACTGAACAAATATATTGATCTCCGTTGCGGTCGTCTATTATGTGTGATCCGCCTTCTCCACTTTTGAACATTTCATCATGTCCTCTTTCATTTTTTTTTGTTTCTGCCGTTTTTGGCAGAGCTTTTTTCTCCTTTTAATTTATGTTTCGTCATATTTTGACTACTGGGAATTTGTTTTGATCTAGTTCGTTGGTATTGTAGACAATTGTTTCCTTATTACAACTACTTCTCAAAAGATTTTATGAAAAAAGAAACACATCATTTTAAGCAAGACATTACCTTTCTTTTTCCAATTAACAATCACATTATGGTCGGAAGATTATGAAAATTGCGACACCTTGTCCCTGAAATGATTTTAACAAATTTAAACAAACATTGCAATGTATCATCATTTTAACCATTTTTGTGGGGGATCAGGGCTGTGGATTTACAGTTTTTTGGTTTTAATTTATCTTTTTCTCCTCCGATTATCTTCACCAACAGATTAGATATATATTATAACAGGCCAGATAGGCGACAACACAGCATCTGTTGTCTGTTGTGCAATCTGATTAAAATCATCTGTTACATGGCTTCGTTAACTTCGAAATACGCCTGAACGATGTTCAGGCGGAGCCATGTAACAGAATAATATAATCAGATTATCTGTTGTGAACCGTATTACAACTTTTTTTTGTGTTCTTCACTTCTACATAATACAGGCAAATTTTCAGCAAAATAACGCACACATGACAAGCGCGTACAATTCAGAATAAGGAAACTACATGTGTTAAATGGGTGTAGCCTTCAACACAGTTTCAGCATTTATCAAAGCAATGAAATCCTGAAGAAACTCCTGATTGGGAGATATTTAAAATGTTATAATTTGTGCAGTTTAAATTGGTAATAACTCCCTCACTTAATTTGGTCAATCAATCTCAATGTCATTTATTTGAGGAAAGTTTATAGTACCTCGTGCCAGGTACCTACGGGCGAAGTATCGTCACTCTGGGCAGAACTTGTATATTTATTTATTTATACATATTTGACCCATATGACCTTGAAAGTAGGTCAAAGTCATTTATTTGAGGAAACTTTACAGCACTCCATCACAGGTATCTATATACTGACCAAATATCATGGCCCTAGGTCATCAAGTTCTTAAGGACTCGATCAAAGAATAAGTTTAGAGATGGATGATGGAGAAAGGACAACACACCATACCATAAGCTCAACTTTGTGCCAAATGAGCTAAAATCATTTAAATGTATAGTTAGAACACAATGGCTATTGGCACCCGGTCACATCGTATTTTAGATTATATCCAGACCTGGTATGGTAATTAAAATCAAGACGCACACCATCAAGTCAGAGTGATTAAATGATATAAACAGAAAACAACAGTATACAGCACTTTATATTTAATAATCTATATTTATGGATTGAGTACACTTCACAATTCCATCTACACCAATAAATCATTTTCAAACTATTTACAATATACATTACTGGTGTGATATTTTTGCAAAATATATCAAGGGTTATTTCCCCTATCGAAGACTTCTGATGGTTTATTATCTAACAGTACACATGTAATATAAAAGTTATGGTACATATAATTAATATGCAATATTGCAGTCAATACACAGAAGAGCACTTTGTAAGAAATAAGACACAAGTTAGTCTGAAGGAAAAAACCATGTGCACGAAACAAACAATTCAGAGAAGAAAAAACAGTAAAGAAAATAAACGGTACAAATCTACTAAGTACAATGATGAAAACATCTGTATTCAATTATATATTCTTAAAAGATCCTTTAAAATCAATTCAATCATATTTACAATTAAAGGTTGTAATCTGTTGTTAAATGGACCACAAGTACATTTGTACATTACATGAACTTTTGGTACTGTCTGCCAATAAAAATCATTACAAATCTAGACCAGCTAAAAATAATTTTATGTGTAAAAGGATCTTGTAAAATATAAGAAAAATCTATTATTTTTTTTAAATTTCAATTACTTGCATAAAAAAAGTTTCATCAGTATAAATACTTCACATTTAAAATGTAGAGAAGAAAAACATGTTAACAATATAAACATGTACTAATACAAACAAGTACAGGTATTTAACAGATCTAGAGATCACTCCACAGTGATTTTATTATATCAAAACATCAAACAACCAGCTAAGGTCTTTATTCGTCAAAAAAGCATCTCTCCTAAAATCCTGTCTTCAATTTAAATTCTGGTTTGGCCGCCTGTACACTGAATGAACTCGATCACTTACAGACTAATACAGGTAACTAACAGAGGTCACTCCAGGGTGATTTTACTACGTCAAAACAACATCAAACAACCAGCTAAGGTCCTTCTTGTTAAAAAATAGCTTCTCTCCTAAAATTAGATGTATTTTTTTAAATTCTGGTTTGGCTGCCTGAATACTTAATAAACTCAATAACTAAATGGTGCCGTACAATAACAAGATGTACGGCTAATTGCTGCTGCCTTAGTATATTGAGGATAGATGAAGGATGTTGTTCAAATGATTGTGGTTCTATGATATTTTTATATATTATATAATGGATGATTTCCTTGTGTCTTCAACAGATCTTATACAACTACTAAAACATCATCAAAGCAGAAACCGGTACATCTGATATACATTCAATTCTTTTTGCAAATGTTACATGTTCTTTATAGAGCAAACATATTTCTGGAAGAAGAAGAACAGGAAAGTTAAATAGACAGTAGGAAATCCTTTTTTAAAAGGACACAAATGTTTCAAATTACAGTACGTACCCATTTTTGTCGTAAATAAATCTTATACATAGATCTCAGAAGACATAAACAAAACATAAACAAAAGTCCTGAAGAAAAACGAAACAATTTCTTTGTTTTTAAATTTTTTTGAAAAACAGTTTATATCAAACTACACTGTACCATATGTCAATACCAGGTACTGGCTTGTTCAGTGTAAACATGTTTTATAATAGATTAACATTATACATTCAATAATAGCACATCAATTATTCTAACAATATAGCACTACATGATTTGTGGTAACAGACAATGGAGGCCAGCAATAATATCAGAAATATACTGTGTAATCAGACATTTTTGTGGTTTTCCAACAATACACAATTACGTGGGTACATGAATTTGTGGATTACAGTACCTTCTCAAACTGATAATTGCTTTATATCTAATGTGTAATAACCCACAAAATTGATGGAAATACCCCCCCACCAGAAAAATAATGATTTCACAGTATTCAAATTAAATAGTAGTCAATTACCATATCAAGTCAAACATAATTTTAACATCGTGTTTTCAATACAAATTTACAAACATACAAACATGAAAACAAGATAAGCACTATTAAAGTTATACTTGTACCTAAACGCCTGAGTTGTCCTCTCCTTTTACAGATCAGAACTGCTGCCATAAGATTAGTACAAGTCATAAATAAGACAATAAAGACATTCATTGTTTGTTTAAGATCTAGACCACTTCAAAATAGAATACAAGATTTCAAACTTTTACCACAAGAAATTGTCACTTTCAAAACTTAAATTTGTCTTCATTATATCCAAAACAACAAAAAACTTACACATTCAAATTAAGATTGATCAATCCAAAAGAGTTTTAGTTGCAAATCCCTTTACAGAAAAAGTATTTTACTTCTTAAACACAAAAAAAGCACTTTAAATATAAATAGAATGTCATTATCTTTAATATTAGCTGTCATACTTTAAGATGTATATACATTTCAGAAAGTTGTACACCAAATTGTATAGGTGAAAATTGCATCACCAAACAATAATTAATGAGAATCACAGACATACTGGCTATCATTCTTATCACATTTATAACCAATGAATTGATGAGCACACTTCCTCATGTAACACTTTCTCACGCTCCCTCTCAAATAAGTCCTTCTAAAACAACTCCCTCTCAAACAACTCCCAACAATACAAGGCGAGTAGTTTACCGACACACATACCCAGTCACTTGATACACAGTACAGTAAAATCAACCCAGACACTGAAGGAACAACAACCATACCAATCTCTCACACCAGAAGTAGATCACGCTCGCACTAATCCAGCCATTTGTTGCATCTGTAATAAAAGCTGTTTCTTCTCCTTCTCAAAAAGTGCTGTCATTTTTGCCATCTCCTTTTCTAACATTTCAGCTCTGAACCTCTCTGCTTCAGCTTTCACCCTCTCTGCTTCAGCTTTCACCCTCTTTGCTTCAGCTTTCTCCCTCTCTGCCTCCTTCTCCTTCTTTAGCACTTCTTCCCTATTAAGGACTTGTATGATTTCATCAATAGCCTCATTCCTGACTTCAATAGCATTGTTGAAATCCCTCATGGCCTGAAGTTTCTCCTTCTCCACCCTCTTCTTCTCCTTCTGAAGCTTTGTCTCCCTGTTCAAAGCCTCCAGTTTCTCCTCCTCTGCCCTCCTCTTCTCCTCCTCTGCCCTCCTCTTCTCCTCCTTAAGCTTTGTCTCCCTGTTCAATGCCTCCAGTTTCTCCTCCTCTGCCCTCCTCTTCTCCTCCTCTGCCCTCCTCTTCTCCTCCTCTGCCCTCCTCTTCTCCTCCTCCGCCCTCCTCTTCTCCTCCTTAAGTTTTGTCTCCCTGTTCAATGTCTCCATCTTCTCCTCCTCTGCCGTCCTCTTCTCCTCCTCTGCCCTCCTCTTCTCCTCCTCTGCCCTCCTCTTCTTCACCTTAAGTGTTGTCTCCCTGTTCAAGGCCTCAATCATCTCCTCCTCTGCCCTCTTCTTCTCCTCCTCTGCCCTCTTCTTCTCCTCCTCTGCCCTCTTCTTCTCCTCCTGAAGTGTTGTCTCCCTGTTTAAAGCCTCCAGTTTCTCCTCCTCTGCCCTCCTCATCTCCTCCTGAAGCACTGCCTCCCTATTCAGGGCCTCAGTTTCTGTCCTCCTCATCTCCTCCTGAAGCACTGCTTCCCTATTCAGGGCCTCAGTTTCTGTCCTGTCAGCTCTAGTCTTCTCTATCTCTACCTGTTCCATTAAGTGCTCTAAAGTGGGGAATAAAGAAGGATAAAAACACAATTATATTATTTAACAAAATGAAAATCATGCTTAAAATTATTTTTTAATTAAATGGTTTGTTGATATCAAGAAAACTTTTCAACTTGTTCAATCTACGAAAAAGGATGATTTCATTACAGAAAATTTCTGTAATAAATAAAGAATACAATCAATAAGTTAAGAGATAAACTACCTTGCGTTATACTTGTACATGCAAAACACTTTGGTAACATAAACACATTATCACTGAACTTGTCTTAAATGAACTACCAGAATCAAAATGCAATCATAGCACTATGAATGTAACAACATTCCGGTGATTTTGATGTCATTTATATTGTCACGTTATAAATGTGATATCGTTTAACAATTAACAAACAAATTACTGCAGAGCCATGTAACAGATGATTTTAATCAGATTGAGGGTTGTTATATTTAATGTTAAATCTCCAAACCTGCTTGTTTGTGGTAAATAAGAGTTAGAATACATTCATATATTTATGTCAACATGTCTGTTTTGTATCTTAATATATCTACATGATGTTACTCTGAATTTCTTAAAGAAAAAAGAAAAAATTTGCTTTTAATTTTAGACCCTCAAAATTCAACACACCAAGGTATTTAAAGTGTGCAAATTTATATTATGGTGTCAATATGTTATTGTATCAATATGTTTATGATTATGATTTTAGTGAACTTTCCCCTTTGAGAGTGTGTGATTATTTCCTACACATGTAATGTCTCAGTGAGAGTAATCATGACCTCCAAAGAAACTGACCTATGCCAGTACCTTTGATCCGGTTCCATTCTAGCTCAAACTGTTCTTGGGTCGGCTCACCGTGATCTGAAAATGGTAAATTTACAAATAATCATACATATATATATATCTAGTAAACCTTACTTATCCAATCTGTAATACCCTGGTAAATATAATCTCTAACCAATTGATGTGGCAAACAGAGTGATCTTATTTCATAAAAAACATATACATTATTGTATATATAACTTATTTCTTAAGAAATTAACCAAACATCTTTATATCAATCCTAAAATTTAAGATATTTAATTGATATATCATTACATTTTTTATTTTATTAGGTGATAGAAAATGTCATCAGATATCAGGTAATACCTAATTATAGGTAAAATGATGACCCAACCCTGAAACATTTTCTGTCGTATCACTAAATATCACAAATGGCTCAACAAAGGATTTGAGTCACTTGCAATTTACTTAATTATAATTACAATATACATTGTAAGCCAGTGTCTAACACCTCTTGATCTGCTTGATGATGCAGCTTAGTTACCAGTAGTATGGTATAAACACAATTGTGGTTCTATGGAATTACTGTCTATCATTGTTTTCACGTAAATATCATCTGTTAACAAATGTATCCTTCTACACTGATAAACCTTCTACACTGATAAACCTAATATAATTAGGAAGGTGATGTAAAACTTACAGATATCATAGCAGTTGCGGAGGACAAGTCTGATATCTGCGGAGAAGGCATATTTCCCCATTCCGACGTACACATTCAAAACAGCATTCTCTGTAGGGACCAAGGTGTTCAGCAGACAAATAAACGTGATCTCCTCATCTGGAATATTAACATTTTGATAAATTAATATTCCTGTGTAAATATGTATCCATTTATTAATTATTTTAAATCTATATTTATCAACTCACATAAAATAAATACACGTACAATTACACAGTTATAATGTAAATGCAACCTAAATATGGAGATAACATACATTATTATTGTTTTAATTATTTCTTTTTAAAAAATGTGTTATAGAAAAAAACCAGTTTAAATTTATTGTTTTTAAATTTGTGTACATATTCTTTTTCTTTTCTTTTTTTCTTATCTTGATATATATTTTTGTTGCTTCATTAATACATTTTTAGTGATCAATTCATTACTTCACTCAATTTATTATAAACTTGAATATATATATATACAATGTGTACCTGAAAATAATCTGTATAAAACTTTATAACCAAAAGTTCCCAAACAAGTGATGCTATAATTATCTACATCTTGAGTTCGTTAATCTTCAAATTGTATAGTTATAAAGACACAAGGTTTATCGAGTGTCCTTTACAATGTGAAAATGAACTAACCAGAATCAAATAACCATGAAAACCAACCATCATGAGTTGAGACCTTTTTCTTCCACAACTTTAATTTCAGACATTACCTCTAGCTAGAAAACCATCTGTTTCTCTTTTGGAATACATTATCCCTGTTTCCAACCAGGGATACATTCGACATGAACTATGACATCAAAATGGAAGATAACACAAAGGATTGTTACTTGACGTCATAATCAGAAGATTGACCAATCATGAAACGTCCAGGGTGTTATCCACTATAGTGGGTCCCCAAAACTGTTTACTAACTCCCAGCAGCTCTTTCCACTATAGTGGGTCCCCAAAACTGTTTACTAACTCACAGCAGATCTATCCACTATAGTGGGTCCCCAAAACGGTTTACCAACTCCCAGCAGATCTATCCACTATAGTGGGTCACCAAAACTGTTTACTAACTCCCAACAGATCTATCCACTATAGTGGGTCCCCAAAACTGTTTACTAACTCCCAGCAGATCTATCCACTATAGTGGGTCCCCAAAACTGTTTACTAACTCCCAGCAGATCTATCCACTATAGTGGGTCCCCAAAACTGTTTACTAACTCCCAGCAGATCTATCCACTATAGTGGGTCCCCAAAACTGTTTACTAACTCCCAGCAGATCTATCCACTATAGTGGGTCCCCAAAACTGTTTACTAACTCCCAGCAGATCTATCCACTATAGTGGGTCCCCAAAACTGTTTACTAACTCCCAGCAGATCTATCCACTATAGTGGGTCCCCAAAACTGTTTACTAACTCCCAGCAGATCTATCCACTATAGTGGGTCCCCAAAACTGTTTACTAACTCCCAGCAGATCTATCCACTATAGTGGGTCCCCAAAACTGTTTACTAACTCCCAGCAGATCTATCCACTATAGTGGGTCCCCAAAACTGTTTACTAACTCCCAGCAGATCTATCCACTATAGTGGGTCCCCAAAACTGTTTACTAACTCCCAGCAGATCTATCCACTATAGTGGGTCCCCAAAACTGTTTACTAACTCCCAGCAGATCTATCCACTATAGTGGGTCCCCAAAACTGTTTACTAACTCCCAGCAGATCTATCCACTATAGTGGGTCCCCAAAACTGTTTACTAACTCCCAGCAGATCTATCCACTATAGTGGGTCCCCAAAACTGTTTACTAACTCCCAGCAGATCTATCCACTATAGTGGGTCCCCAAAACTGTTTACTAACTCCCAGCAGATCTATCCACTATAGTGGGTCCCCAAAACTGTTTACTAACTCCCAGCAGATCTATCCACTATAGTGGGTCCCCAAAACTGTTTACTAACTCCCAGCAGATCTATCCACTATAGTGGGTCCCCAAAACTGTTTACTAACTCCCAGCAGATCTATCCACTATAGTGGGTCCCCAAAACTGTTTACTAACTCCCAGCAGGTCTATCCACTATAGTGGGTCCCCAAAACTGTTTACTAACTCCCAGCAGGTCTATCCACTATAGTGGGTCCCCAAAACTGTTTACTATCTCCCAGCAGGTTTATCCACAATAGTGGATCCCCAAAACTGTTTACCAACTCCCAGCAGGTTTATCCACTACAGTGGGTCCCCAAAACTGTTTACTAACTCCCAGCAGGTCTATCCACTATAGTGGGTCCCCAAAACTGTTTACTAACTCCCAGCAGATCTATCTACTATAGTGGGTCCCCAAAACTGTTCACTATCTCCCAGCAGATCTATCCAATGAGTTGGGAATGAGGAAACCTATATATAGTGGCAGTGAGAAATATTACTGTAATACAATTTCCTGGCTTAAAGTTAATTTGGGAATTCTTTATATTATCAATTCTTATAATACATAACTTGACACATGAATACACGACAGAAACTTGACATCTTGTCCCCAGTTTCTAAGAATACATCCAGACTCTGAAGTATCGGGGACCAGGAACAGTTAATACAGAAATACTGTGTATATAAAAGGTCCTCCATCCTGAGTGACTTCAGTGGAAATAAGTAGGTAACTCTAATTCTAATTAATTTGAGATGTAACATGCATATGGCGATTGGTCATTCAAAACAATTTGCGATGACTGCATGGTACAACCACGATATACAATCTGCAAATTTCTCATTTGCATATGAAGCTTGCAGGATGATAATTGTTAATGACATCATGTCAGTGGCCCCGACAGGTCATGATATTGATTATTTATGATGTCATGAACAAAAGCACCGGCCCGAAAGGTCAATGTAATTCTGCCTACTTTTTAATTGTATTCCAGATGTCATCAATCGACATCAGAATGACCCAGATTTTTGTGGGGAAAAAAAGAATGCAAAAAATGTTGGTGGTTCATCTTTGGTTAAATAAAAATATATGTGTGTTTCCTGTTTCGGCTCCAAAAAAAAATAGGGTAGGTAGGTAGGAAAAACATTGGATTCAAATTTTTTATTTTATCTATTCTTATTGTGAAGAAAATCTCCTGATTACCTCTATGAATGTTTAAAATATGGTATTGTTTTAATAAAGTATGAATGGCACCAAATATATCATTTTTTATTCATGTAAAATAAATACACATATCAAAAAATCCCTGCATTCCTAGTTTTTGTGTTGAGCAGGCTCAAGCGACACATTGAAGTAAATCATTTGATCCACCTAAATGTTTATGGAATAACCAACATAATTTACAGTAGTGCTGCCACCAGTGTTACATTTCTAAACCATCCTTACTAGGACACTAGTTTTAAGTAATCCAAACTCAACTGATGGTCACCGGTGTTACTCTGTTCTAAATTTCCACTGTCACCAGTTCAAACTAATTGAACATTTACAGATCCCATTATCTGTATCATAATCACAACTATCTACGGCTACTTAGCTACTATCTTCATATAAAACTCTTACTGACCACGAGCCAATGCTAATAAAATGCATAGCAAACTATATGTACACTTTGAACAATTAAACGGCTAATCAATCCATAACAATGACTGAAAAACCAATAAAATTTATTAGGTCGGCAATTAGAGCTGGAACAGCGTACAGTTGTTGTTTGGGTATGAGTAACTACATATTTTAAAAATAATTTCAGGTACCCAAATACCATCCAAAATCATGGATCAATACTGATTTATTTTCCTTGTCAGAAATATCACTCCTGACAGCAGTTTTGACACTTTGTATATACCTATAGACATGGACCCAGATTTTAATATGTGACATTTTGCCATCCCAAGAGATACATTATATAATACTTGCTTACAAAATTTGGCAATTTGTACATGGATGTAGGTGAAAGATTACAGGAGATAATTGATATAAGCAGTGGACAATGCGATGCATACACTGAGTGATGGATCAGGTACAAATCTTCAGTTCCATCAGATATAGCACTGCTGAGGGACTATACTGTAAAGGAAAACTAGGACATGCTACCTGGAGTAGCCAATTGCAAGTACATGTACAATGTAGATTACGATGAAATAATTTGTTTTGCTGTATAAGTTCAAAAAATCTGAATGAATTCTGCATTCAACAATGACTATCAGTCTGTGACGTTAACTTTTTTCCTCACTAGTCAATTGGACTAGTAAACCCAGAATTTTAATAGCCCGACTGTAAATTTGCTAGTCCAAATTACAGACTGGTCTTTTTAACAGCATGAAGTGTAAATTGTGATCTAAATTGGAAAATTATTAGAAATCAAAACAAAATGTTTCTCAATAACTTTAGAAACAGAGCACGAAACGTGATCGCCATTTATCTCTAATACAGTATTACTGTTGTTTTCATTGAGCCGTTAAGCACTAGCCAGAACAGTAAATTTTGCTTTCTTGTTAGAGCATCTTTTTCTGTCGGTTCACGGACAGGCTTAGCTGGTTTTAAACCTTTTCTCCAGCTTAGCAACATCTCCATGGTTGGTTTCACGTGGTTATAAACCGGAAGGAATTTTCGGTAACTACTAAAATCCGGAACCCAGTCTCGCTCATCGAAATGCTTCAATTTCGAACGCCTCAACGAATACCATATTTTCCGATGGGATTAAAACTTGTGACAAGCTTGATTGTGCAAAATGTTATATAATGAACAATATTTCCATTATTTTGGAGGAAAATTTAAATTGCCACTAGTCCAGTCGGACTAGTTAAATATTTTCAATACTAGTCCAGACTTAAATTTACTAGTCGTGGGCATCGGACTAGTGCCTAACGTCGCAGACTGGACTATAAACAAATACAAATATATACCTCTTTCACGAAGGATTCTTAGACCATTTATGATCTGCACATCTGTGAATTTCAGCTTCTCCTTCATCATTCTTACATGTGGCTTCACCATTTCCTGACTGATCCAATCCTGAGCTTGGTCAGAGGGATTTTGGAAATATAACTTATTGTAAATTAATACACCATTTGGAACAAATGCGTGCTGTAATCGTAACAACTCCAGGGCCCTCCAGAAATCTACGATTTCTACTCCTGTGCTGCTGTATTGATCCAAATGAACATTGAAAAGCAACTGCTGCATCAGTATCACTATATCAACTTTTTCTTCACATCTACAGAATTCTAGAAGTTCATCAAATGTTTGAATGCACTCCACACGTAAAAGCTCTTCCAAACTGATGAAAAGTTTGAGTGGTTCAAAGTATCCAGCTGCTTCCATTTCTCCTTTGATTTATTTCTCGTAATACTTCCAAAGTGAACAATCTGAAATGATAGTAAAATCATATATTAATATTTGAAACTGTACTGTAAAATAATGAAGAATCAAATACATTTTTTATACATACAGTGTATTTCTTAAATGTATAAAAAAAAAATCAAGAGAACAAAATATTGATAAAACTAGGCCCATTCATGTCTCTGATCATATATCAACTAAATACATTGTATATTTACGCACAATACATTCCATACAATGAGAATAATGAAGACACAGATTCATAATTGTTACAGTTACAGTTGGATGTCCCTATGGCATGCACTGTTTTCCATACAGACTTGTAGCCAGACTATAGCTATTATACAGTATCAAGACCAATCATCAGCTGTTAATCAGGTTTACAATATTTGACAGATGACCCAATATTGGTCTGCGATAAACAGCCATTATTTGTAAACGTTTATTGATGCTCTGCGATATCTAAGTACTCATCTGTAATTAACTATAGTAATTTATGTATTTAACTTGTATTAGTGTCCGATTTTCGGTCTTTCATAAAAAAATAAACGTTTGTTTTGGTTCAAAATCACACGTGAAATCCCATGTTGTTGATATTTTGACAACTATCATACACGATTTTACTCAAATAATTCCATAATCCTACAAATTTTGACCTTTATTTATGGTGCATAAATTCAAATAGATCCAGAATTTTTACTGAAAAAATATATGTTTACACATGATAGAGCTGAAAGCTGTAAAAAGGTACCTACCGTTATAATTGTTGTAGCCCTACAACGAAACGGCCACCATTTTCTTTCGCTATCAACAAAGCGCTTGACATCAGAGTTCTCCCCACTACAACCCAGAAGAACGTTTGACAGAATCGGATGTTGGATTTTGACTGGCTGGCGCGAAATTTGCGGCAATATTGAAAACTGAAAATATGAATGTCTTAGACAAAACACAAATTTAAAGCTATTTCATTAAATGTCAACTTCATATGAGACTATGTATACTTCTAATTACATCTTATCTTCACTCGGATTCACGTAATAAACTGACTTTCAAGCAATTTATAATATTGAAATACAAAATGTAAAGATCGCTGGGCCCTTCTTGCTTGTTGAGGGAGCACTGACTCGATCGATCAGCTGGTCGGTCGGTCGGGCAGAGACGTATATATATTAATACTACATATACTGTATATGTCTCTGGTCGGGGTAACCCAGACATCCGCGTCTTGTGTGTAATTAAGGTAGAATTAATTAGTTTTCCCTTTCTTACGAAAATAATATGGTCGGGTGGGGAAGACATACTTTTGTTTTTTACATTTTACCGACCAGACCACCCTGTCCCACTGTGACTGATCGAATTATTAGTACACATCTTTGGAATCGACCAAAGATTTTTGGCATAAAGAACGTTCTAAAAATATAAATGTTGATAATGACTGGTAATTTATAAAGACAATTTTAATACACCATTCAATTAAGCAGTTAATGTTTTAGCAAATGTTGTTAAGGTCCTAAAACACACATTGCTGTGGATGACAAACTTAATAAGCCTGGAAGGGCTTTTTGTAAGTTTTTCAGCAATAGAAATGTGTGTTATAGGACCATAACAATATTTGCTAAAATATTCATTATTTATGTTTACATTTTGATAGAGTAGTTATGCTTTATTTAGTTATTTCAAACAGTATTTGAACAGCAAATCAAGTGTTGACAACAATGAAATTGATGACGTCACAATAGAGATTGGTGACGTTACAAAAGCAAATGGTGTTATAGTCTCATAACAACATTTGCCTTCGCAATACATTACAATGGAAGGATGCAGAGAAAATGTAAATATAGACGTATGGTTGTATAGGTCTCTGTCCCATTTTATCCTTTTACGTGGGGGAGAAATACTGTACACGTTCACCAGTAAGATAATCACGTTAAAGTAAGAATTATCGCTTAAGATTTGTGACTTCATATTAACTAAGTAGACGAATGTACAAACCATTAATATTGTATCCGTAAACATCCCAGTTCTGTTTGTTCACGTACGTGCCGCTGTTAACTTTTGAAGTCGGCTAGATTTTCCAATATTCAGTATTAGGAGCTTTAGAGATATCAATCTGTGTTATTTAGAGTTCATTCATAAGTTTGTGATACTTACTATATAGCTATTTCAGTCGATGGTACTCGATTTCTTTAGATACGTTGTATATTTCCCGGGTCTAAATTCCTATGCGCATGGGCACTAGCGTAATTAGGTCGCTATTGGCGGTAAGCAATCAGCGCGCTATATGGTGGCGGAGGTCTATAAATAGAAATGATACACATCACCGCACGCATGCAATAATTACTTCCCTGTCCCATATATAGATGTTTACAACTGTACCTACAAGTTTATGCGGAGAGTACGTTATAGAGGGAAGCCGATGGTGCTATATGGACTTATTGATGTCATGGAGAATAAATAGGAGAGGGATATAGTACATCCGTCTATGGCATGTCATTGATGATCATGTCCAAGAAATGGGGAGGTCCGAGACATGTCCCTTGGGCACCACCATCCTCGATATCCAGGGGTTACGCTTACTTTCGCTCTCTACACCCCTGGAATATGTCATGGCAAAATTGAAGGCACGAAGATAGCTGTTTGATTGGTCTCGGGGGGGG